CAAAAGGAGGAGGCTGCAATGCTTGGTAAGAAATGTACGCATTATCCTGCCCATGTAATTGTAACCCCTCTGTACAGTATGTTCACAAATAAAATAAAAAAAAATTTGTACATGTTGGGCTGAGAAGGTGGCTCAGTGGTAGAGCGCTTGCCTTGCACGCATGAGGCCCTGGGTTTGATTCCTCAGCACCACATAAGCAAAAAGATAAAAAGCGGAAGTGGCGCTGTGGCTCAAGTGGTAGAGTGCTAACCTTGAGCTGAAAGAGCTGAGGGACAGCACCCAGGCCCAGAGTTCAAGACCCACGACCAGACCCCCCCAAAAAAAATTTGTACATGTAAACATGGGCAAAAGTTAGGGATACATAGAGTTTGGTATTGTCTACTTTTAGGCATCCACAGAAAGAACTCAGGAACCTGACTCAAGTATGGTGAAAGGAAAGTCTATCATAGTCGCTTTTGGATTTTATCATAAGAACATGGGCTCTTATTTACTTATTCTGAACTGAGAATATCATGTCTAAGATTGTCCAACAAGTTGGAATAAACACATTCAGGTTAAGGTGACCTTGCTCTACAGAGAACAGATGCACTACTAGAACAAAACGATAAGGAGTATCAAAATAACAAGGTGATACAGACAACTCTTTAAGCATGTTAAACTCCAAACAATGATCTTGAACTTTAGTTTTTTGTGAAAATCTTAGCTTTCCCCAGAATAAACCAATTTATAAAATTAGCAGTGGAAACTGACTGATCAGAACAAAGGAGAAATTTTCACTTTTTAGCAGGAAAAGAAGTAAAGTTCTAGCAATAATTTGAAGACTTTTTAAGCCACAAAATAGTTTTTTACATTAAACAGTCAATACTTTATTATGTAATAAATACCATGGTAGATGATTTTGCCCAACTAGAGGCTAATATACATGATCTGAGCCTATTTCAGTTAGGTGAGGCTCAACTTTGATATTAGGGCCATTAAATACATTTTCAACTTACGAGATGTCTATTTTTACCATGGGTTTATGGAAATGTAACTTCATTCTAAGTTGAAGAGCATCTATGTTTACAAGAAAATTGTTTAGTACATTGTAGGAAATACTTCAGTGTTTCCTTAGTCATAAAGGCAAAATGGGTTCAGAAGACTGCAAGTGACCTCAAACACATAGCAAGGCCAATTTCAAGAAGAGACTTGTCACACACTGTTCAAAGGTTTTTTCCTCTATGACTAGAAGGGGTCAAGACAAACCAAAGAGATCCTATAAATGTGTCTCTAAAACTAAACAGGAGGGGCCGGGAAGGTGGCTTAGTAGCAGAGCACTTGCCTTGCATGCAGGAGGCTCTGGGTTCGATTCCCTAGCACCACATAAGCAAAAAGAAAAAAAAGCCGGAAGTGGCGCTGTGGCTCAAACGGTAGAGTGCTAGCCTTGAGCTGAGGGACAGCGCCCAGGCCCAGAGTTCAGGCCCCTCGACCAGGCCCCCCCCCAAAAAAAAAAAAAAAACTAAACAGGACACAATTTGGAATTTTAAAAATGAATCAGATTCCCATCTTCTCACTAATGTGACTTACTGGTACTTCTCATAAGTTAGGTTTCCCTTTGTCTCATCATTTTAGTCATCCTAAATCACAAAACCTTAGACAAGAACGTAAGTCTGAATAAAAACAAAAAACCCTGAGAATAATTATGCTTCCTCTACTAGAGGAAGACAAGGCAGGAAGGAGTACTTTAGAACATGTAGCTTCCTCTCTTCTGGCAGTTCTGGGGCTTGAACTCCGGGCTGGTGCTGGCCTTCAACCCTAAGCTTTTGTGTTCAAGACTGGTGCTCTATCACTTGAGTCACAGCTCTACTTCTGGCTTCTTGAGGTTCATTGCAGACTAGAGTCTCATAGACTTTCTGCCCCAACTAGCTTCAATTGTGATCCACAGATCTCCATCTCTTGAGTAGCTATGATTACATGCATGAACCATGGGTACCCAGCTCATAGTTGTCTTTTTTTTTTCTTTTTGCCAGTCATGGGGCTTGAACTTGGCCTGGGCACTGACCCTGAGCCTTCTTTTGCTCAAGGATAGCACTCTACCACTTGAGCCACAGCGTCACTTCTGACTTTTTCTGTGTGTGATACTGAGGAATGGAACCCAGGGCTTCATGCATGCATGCTAGGCAAGCATTCTACCACCAAGCCACATTCCCAGCCCTTGTAGTTGCCATTTCTAATATATAAAGATTTGGGGCCTGCTCCTTTTTTATTTTTTTCCAACTCTACAACCAGCATTATTTCCTTTGCAGGCTAGTTAATGTTTGTATGCAGTGTTTTGTTTTTTTTTCCCCCCAAACCCTTGTTTGTCTGCATCATACATGGTTTGGCATATTACATAATCTTTGGAACCTGTAAACTGATTTTGTGCAAAGGTGAGGCCTAGGCAGGTAGTAATAGTTCAAAAGTAGGAAAGGGAGCAGAGCTAGAGTTCTAGGCTTTGGGTCCTTCACACTGGATTATGGGATCAAGTTGCTGGATCTTAGGCCTCTTCCTAGGCAAAGATGTTAATAATTAAGATCCCTCCTTGGGCAAATGGTAGATAGCTTTCTAGTACTTCCAGTTTATCAAAGAACTTAGAATTTCTTAGCTTCACAATCCAAATATCCTTTCTTTCTAGCTTTGTATACAGAGTCAAGCATAAGCCAGATGAAAAAACAAAAACCCAACAAGAAAGGCTGGAAGATTAAGAAAACAAATGCATGGGCTGGGAAGGTGGCTCAGTGCCTTGCATGCCTGAGGCCCTGGGTGCGATTCCTCAGCACCACATAAGCAAAAAGAAAAAAGCCGGAAGTGGCGCTGTGGCTCAAGTGGTAGAGCGCTAGCCTTGAGCTGAAGAGCTGAGCGACAGTGCCCAGGCCCAGAGTTCAGGCCCCACAACCGGACCCAAAAAAAAAAAAAAAGAAAACAAATGCAAGAGAACAAGGAAGAGGGGTACTCTAGAATGACAGAAAAGTAAAACAGGCTCAGATGGCTACTAGTAGGAAAGGGTGAATGATGATGAATACAGGGTGAATGAGGTGAATATGGTTGACTTCTTGTTTGTTTCCTAGCTTATTTGCATGTATGAAAATAAAACAGTGAAACCTAGTGAAATTGTTTTAAGGAGGGGAAATGGAATAGAGGAATACATGTGTGGAAATGTCACACTAGATCCCTCTTTGAATACTAATGTATGATAATTTTTTTCATGGGCAGAATTTTAAAAGTGGGTTACTCAAGCCAAGTATATACTTACCACTTTTTGTTTCCCTTCATTATCTGTGAGCAGCCATTCGATATCCAGGGTGTCTTTTTCCTGAAGTCCCAGTTGATGGTGACAGGGCAAGGTGACCTTTTCCTCTGCTACTCTCTTGATCTCAGTGTGAGTTCCCAAGGTTCCAACATAGTAGGAAACTAGAAGAGGCAAACCTCTAATGAGCAATGTAGAAACTGGACAACAGTTTGGGGAACAAACATCACAACAAATACTTTGTGGGTGTTCACTTGAGCAAGGAGCAGCTTGTTTTGGAAAAATCTTACGCTAGAAGTACAAATAGTCCTGTTCGTCTCACACTAGCTCCCCATTAATGAAAGTCATCACATCTTTAACCTCTCTATCTTTTACTAGTCAACGGCTTCCAGAAGGATGATGATCATGGAAACCATGCATTAAGTTGCCCAGCAATTCGTGTTCTCCACATTACAATATCAAAGCCATTTGAAAGTGTAGAAAACCCTGCAGGTGAGCTTTCTTATTTTGCAAATTAGCTTCTTTCAATCTGTAACAATTGTTCCTGATCAGTAGCCTATTTAAGAGGATGAAAAGATGACTAAGAAAATACAGCTGGGCGCTGGTGGCTCACACCTGTAATCCTAGCTACTCAGGAGGCTGAGATCTGAGGAAAGCCAGCCGGGGCAGGAGAGACCGTAAGACTCCTATCTCCAATAACCACCAGAAAACCGGAAGTGGTGCTGTAGCTCAAGTGGTAGAGCGCTCGCCTTGAGCTGAAGAGCTGAGGGACAGCGCCCAGGCCCAGAGTTCAAGCCCCAGGACTGACCCCCCCCCACAAAACACAATAATAATATTATTCATGATCAAAAGACTATACAAATTTACAGAAGAGAAATTATAGGCAGGTAAGTATAGGGTTCAGGTTATCGCTTTCAAGGGTTTCGTGAATGTTAGAAATAGTGAATGTTAATCGTGTAGTATAGTGTTTAGCACATTATGGCTCTGAAAGAAAACAAGTGAGTGTTCTGGTTTGTTTTGGTTTTGTTGAGACTGGTGATTTGACTTAAGGCCTCCAGCTTGCTAGGCAAGTGTTCTACCACCTGAACTACACCCTCTAGTCCTTTTGATTTTTAGCTTGTTCTTCAGAAAAGGTCACGGTGCATTTTCCTGGGCCAGCTTCAGATCTTGATCCTCCTATCTTTACATCTACATAGCTGGAATTCCAGATGTGTCTCATCATGCCTAGCCTAAGACACCTGCTTTTACTGAGAAGGTGGTGGTGATGTTTCAGTGGGCACAGTAGTATATACTTGAAATCCTCACTACTCATGAGGCTGAGATGGGAAGATTGCTTGAGCCCAGAATTCCAGAGCAGTCTAGGCAAGATTATGAGACAGAGACTCAGAAAAGTAAACAAAACCAAATAAAAGTGAGACTCAGCCAGGCATTGGTGGTTCACGCCTATAATCCTAGCTACTCAGCAGCCTAACCAGAAAAAGCTATGAGATTCTTATTTCCAATTTACCAACAGAAAACTGGAAGTTTCACTGTAGCTCAACTGGTAAAGCACTAGCCTTGAGCTGAAGAGCTCAGGGACAGCGCCCAGACCTAGAGTCAAGCCCCATGACTGACCAGAAAAAAAAAAATTGAGAAAAGTTGGGTTTTGGTGTGGGCTTTGGAAAATAGAATTCTTATAAAGGTCAAGGAAAGATGTTAAGATGTGGGCAGGGGAAATGGCAGGAACAAAAGCCTAGTATAGGAATGTAGGGAAGGGGATATCAGTGAATGATAATAGTTCAGTATGGTTCTACTAGTCTCTGTGATTCATGGTCTGCCTCTCTTCGGTTTCTAATATGCTCAGATTTACATCATAATCCACATTTCTGTACTGTGTCACCTCTTGTAGTGTATACACCAAACACTGAATGCTGTAGTAATGAATGCAGTAAAAAGTGCAAGACCAGAAAAAGAATTCAATACATTAGAGTCAGATTTGACCAATTTATGTCATATAATTGAAATGGAAATGATACATTCAATTTCCTTTTACTATTCAGAACAATTTCTGTCAAGAGATACTATGTTTTACTTTTAGTTTTACATGGAAGGTTTGAATACATTGCAGATATTTGGTAAATATTTGCTGAATTGAGTTGAATCTAACTTATGTATCTGTTTATCGTTGAAGAAACCAAGGCACAAGTCAAGACACAGGAGTAAAAGAGTTATCATTTACTTAATAAATGATTTAGAGCAGAAATAACGTCTATTATTACCCATCTTCCTTCAGTTCCCATAGGGCCACTCTAAAACAGCTGAAAAAATTTGCCTATTTTTGTTTTGTTGGTCGTGGGGCTTGAACTCTGGGCCTGGGCGCTGTTCCTCAGCTCTTCAGCTCAAGGCTAGCGCTCTACCACTTGAGCCACAGCGCCACTTCCGGTTTTCGGAGTGCTTTATTGGAGATAAAAGTCTCATGGCCTTTCCTGCCCAGGCTGGCTTTAGAACCATGATCCTCAGATCTCAGTCTCCTAAATAGCTAGGATTATAGGTGTAAGCCACCGATACCCAGCTAATGTGCCTGTTTTTGTTGTCTTAAGAAGCCAGCCTTGGAGCTGGGAAGGTGGCTCAGTGGTAGAGCGCTTGCCTTGCATGCATGAGGCCCTGGGTTCAATTCCTCAGCACCACAGAAGCAAAAGGAAAAAAGCTAGAAGTGGCGCTATGGCTCAAGTGGTAGGGCACTAGCCTTGAGCTGAAGAGCTGAGGGATAGCGCCCAGGCCCAGAGTTCAGGCCCCATGACCGGACCCCCCCCCCCAAAAAAAAAAGCCAGCCTTATAAAAGTTCTGTCTTCTGTTTTGAACCTGACAATGCTCAAATGAAACCATGTATTTCCATACCACACAGAGCTAGAGAACCTAGTACCAACTTAGGAAGACAAGCAGGCATTTACTGAATACACTGAATAAATAAATAACTGCAGAATTAACTATGACCACTAGAGGGAATCAAAGGCTCAGATTTGGTTGATGTCCCCCAAAGACTAGAACATTGTGGTGGGCGGTGTGCTTTGACAGAGCACCAAGTTCTATTTATACATATCCAAAATTAAATACTGCAGTGAAAGGAGGTGCCATTGGTGAATATAAATGGATTTTCCCAAGGCAGGGAGCCCCAGCCATAGCTCATGAATCTGTAGTCTTCCCTGAATCTCAATTTCTTAGACTCTAAAGAGGACCACTAGGGTCTCTAGATTTCTGTGATTCTTTTTTTTTTTTTTTGTCTGTTGGAGGGCCTGAACTCTGGGTCTGGGCACTGTCCCTCAGCTCTTCAGCTCAAGGCTAGTGCTCTACCACCTGATACACAGCGCCACTTCCTGCTTTTTCTGCTTATGTAGTGCTGAGGAATCGAACCCAGGGCCTCATGCATGTAAGACAAGCTACTCTACCACTGAGCCACCTTCCCAGCCCCCAAAATTTCTGTGATTCTTTTGTAGCCTTTTTAAAAATTTTATTTTATTTTTTTATCTACACTCCTGTCCAATAGTCTTAGATGACAGGGGCATAGGTTCTGTTTTTAAACACCAACACTTGACAGTGTTCATAAGAATTACTCAAAACGTTTGCCAGGCGCCAGTGGCTCACGCCTGTAATCCTAGCTACTCAGGAGGCTGAGATCTGAGGATCACGGTTCAAAGCCAGCCCAGGCAAGGAAAGTCTGTGAGACTCTTATCTCCAATAAACCACCAGAAAACCAGAAGTGGCGCTGTAGCTCAAGTGGTAGAGTGCTAGCCTTGAGCTGAAGAGCTGAGGGACAACACCCAGGCCCAGAGTTCAAGCCCCACGACCGACAAAAATAAAATAAAATAAAAAGACTTTTAGAGATCATCAGTTTAATTTACAATAAAATCAGAGGCCAGAAAATTGAAATGGCAAGTCTCAAAGCTAGTAAGCGGCAGAATTGCAAGAAGAGAAATTGTTTCCACTAGACAACATCTATTTGTGGGAGGAGATATTGGAAGACAGCAGGGTTAGGACACACAAGGTGTGCCTCCTCGTGTATATGCAGAATTCCTTTATGCAAGCTACTGGCTTTCCCTGAGTGGAGTGCTTACTTGCATCTCAAGTGCTTCCAAAGGTGCTTAAGAGAATCATCATCTGAGTCTTGGTGTTCTTATTTGCACAACTGGAATTGAACAAGATACAGAGGTGAAACCTTTAGTCTAGTGATGTTACAGAGGAGTTTACTCATAAAATATTAGCTCTTCTCATGTTTACCTATACTAGAAGGGATTTTCTCCAGATGACTTGTCTATATTCACTTTTATTCTCTTAAATAAAAGTTAAGGAGTAGCATTGTGTGTGTGTGTGTGTGTGTGTGTGTACATATACTGGTACTGGGTGTGAAACTGAAGCTTCACACTCTTGCTTGCCTTTTTCTCTTGAGGCTGGCACTTTACCATTTGAGCTACACCTCCGTTTATGGCTTTTGGCTGGTTGATTGATTTTGTGCCTGGGCTGTCTTAAAACTGTACTCCTTACATCTTAGACTCTTGAGTAGCTAAGATTATAAGTATGAGCCACTGGCACCCAGCTGAGAGTATCATTTTTATTTTTATTAAAAATTATTTTGATCATTCCAGACCTCCAGAGAAATGAGGAAGAACGTTAGTTTTGCAGGGGAGATTTCATTGTAACACTTTTATGAATGTTTACAGTGTATTAGAATCAATCTCATTCCCTCTATTGCTTTCACTTCACAAATAAGTTTTATTTTTGTGTTTGTTTTGCTCAGAGCTAGTGCTTTACTCCGTGAGTCACAGTGTTTGGAGATAAGTGTCTCACAGACTTTCTTGCCTTGTCTGGCTTCAAACCTTAATCCTCATATCTTAGCCTCCTAAGTAAGCAAGGGCTACTGGCAATAAGCTCCTAACTTTTTTTTTTTTTTTTTTGGTCGTGGGGCCTGAACTCTGGGCCTGGGCACTATCCGTGAGCTCTTCAGCTCAAGGCTAGCGCTCTACCACTTGAGCCATAGCACCACTTCTGGCCTTTTCTGCTTATGTGGTGCTGAGGAATCAAACCCAGGGCCTGATGCATGTGAGGCAAGCACTCTACCACTGAGCCACCTTCCCAGCCCTCACAAGTAATTTTTAACAGAAACTAGGATACTGTGTTTAAAAAAAGAAAA